ACACAAACTTAACCAATAGTATGAAAGTATCATAATAGCTGCTGTTACTTATTGAGCATCTAAAGAACCTAGGCTTTTTGCATTTTTGTATTCCCTATCTGAGAGGTAGGGAATATCTTTTGTTCAAACAGTATACTGAAGCTCAGAGATTCATCCATCCTAGATGATATGCTGCTTGTAAATGGTGGAGCCAGAATTGGACTACATACACATTTGATTTTATAACTTGAGATCTTTTCCCTGTACTGTTAAAAGATAAACTGAGGCATATTAAAATTTTTAATAGTTTGAGCTGAAATCAACTCAAATCCAGCAGCATCAGATGGAAGTGATTAGGAGCATCACACCAACAGAAGTTAGGGGCAAGACTTTTATAGAGAAGAAGCAAAAGCAGAACAAGGAAATTATTTGATTGGCTATAGCTTTAAGTAGTTGCCTAATTTGGGAAATCCTAGCTGACTGTTGTCTTTAGGTTTCGATTTCTTAACTTTGAAGGCTTACATTTTGGTTTGCTTACACAGGCTGCTGATATCGTAGAACCAACCCAGTTTGATAGCCTCCTTGTTTAATTTACAGCATCATGCTGTATGAAAATTTGATATTTAGTTTGACTTAGTTTATTTCAAGATTTTCTTACTGTCATGTTTCTTTAGAGCCATGGATATCATCACCAACAAAAATGCAGGGTCCAGCAGAAGTAACACCTGCTTGAGTGTAGTTGTTAGGGTAATAATATAGCTGTAGTAATTTATTGTTTTAATTTGAACATTTCACCTAAAATGTCATATGGTGTGCTTGAATGTGGTATTGTTATGTTACAGAATTACATACTTATGACTTTGTAATTTTAAAGAAGGGGTGTTATTTGTGCTGGACCCTGTATATTAAGTGCTTAGTGTTGGAAAGTAGAGTATTTCTGACTTGGACTCAGTTTATAGATATGTGTTGGTGGTGTAATGGTGGTAGTAAAAGTTAACAAATACAACACTTTTTTTAATTCAGAAAATGAACATAAGTCACAAGTGTTATGAATTAACTTATTTTGGAATCTAGCTATGAGAAATAGCATAGGCCATTTTTTGTCTTGCTGTTAATCTGAACTGTTTTGTAGCAACACAGACTTTAGAGTAAAGTTATCAACATAAAATAAATATTTTTGGCTTTTTTCTATACATGAAAACAGCATAATATAAAATTTTATAACAAGAATTTGCTCATGGGGGGGGTGGTGAGTCATTATATTTCAACAGTAATTTATCAGGGAAATCTTTCTACAATGAAAGGAGTACATTGTCCCCCAAAATTAAGAAAATATATGAAATCAACAGAATCTAAAGTTGATATATATACAATTAAGTCTTTATTATACTTAAAATATATTTATTTAAACTGGGGAAAAAAATAGCTAACCACAAAACAAATTTATTTTAAGAATAATAAGTAAAAATCATTTATTTTTAAATGAGCAGAAAATTAGTACATACAAAAATCTTGTTACAAATAAGGTAAATTAGTTATAGAGCTGAAGTATTAATAATTAGATATTTCTGCGTACCATCTAGAAGATCCTATTAAAGTTTAGGAAAATCTGGCAATTGTAAATAATATGGAAATAGGTAAGGATTCCAAAGGGGGGGGATGTAGTTTGGGGTATCATTTTTATATTTTTCTAATGATTTCTATATATTTCCATTTAAATTGTTTGTCCTAGTACTAGAGAAGCCTAATTGAATAATGATACATAGTGCCTAGAGTTAGATTTTCTGTACAAACAAATCTTCTCCAATACATATAAAAAATATAAGCTTGATATATAAAGGTTATATAACTTGCTTCTTTGAGTTCTCCTCTAATGGTGTTTTTGCGTAAATGTTTGAGGTTCAACATTTTTGTATGCCACTGATTTACTTTAAAAGGTAAAATGATAAGGATGAAAGTCAAGGATTCGAAAGTTTTAACCTTTTTTAATCCTTTCATACTTTATGCCCTTGAGAATGCCTATTATACATAGCATGTATTTCCTTGTGTGTGAATTTGCATGATGCCACAGATGCTTATGATTACTTTATAAGGCATTGAAAAGTTAACACAGTTTGTAGTTAATTTAAATTATTTATTCACCATGAAAAACGAATGTTTGCCTACAAACACTACAAATTCATAAGTAAAATACCAACCTAGCATCACAAATTAAATCTTTTAGAATTTGACTAAATAATGTTATGCAGCTTTGAGTTACATTTTCTTTTTGTTTACCCTAGACTAGAAGTAAGCACAATCTAGTTTATAAAGTATGTCAAAGGAACTTGAAATATTTAGAAAGTTACATGATGAAAAAAATGTTGAATTCTCTTAAATGAATAATTTTCTCTATTCAGCACACATACATTGAGCAAACTTTGTGTCCAGTTCTGTGAGAATTATAACAAATAAGACATTTCCTGTTCACAGTGAAGTTATAGACTATCTATAGTACATTATTATAAGAACAGAATTCTGTGGAAAGTCCGCAACTGAGAGGAGGAGACCAAGAAAAGTTTTCCTGGAGAAGGTCACTTCTGGGCTGCCTATTCATTAAAGAATTTGTTTCTAATACTTTTAGTTAATCAGTTGGTACTTTGTGGTGTAGAGTAGTGCTTTCCATGAATGGGTTACATGTATGCTGGGACACAAGTCCTTCAGTCTTAGGACAACCAGATGGGAACCAAGTGAGCAGGGGCCCCAGTTATGAGCAGCCTCCTCCTTTCATCCCGGTTCCACATGTGATGATATGAAGAATATTGGGAAATAACGGTGTAGAGAAATGCCATTATCCACTAGAGATTACAAGGCATCACAAACTTGCTAATAAAAGATAAATCTAATAACCATATTTTAAAATGGCCTTATTTATTTATTTTCTAAATTCTGATAAATATACATAACACAAAATTCACCATTTTAACCATTTTAAGTGTACAGTTCGGTGACATTAAATATATTGATACTGTTGTGCAATGTCACCATCTATCAACAGAACTTTTTCATATTCCCAAACTGAAACTCTGTACTCATTAAACAATAACATGCGCATGCACACACAATGCTTCTCTCCCCCATCCCCTGGCAACCACCATTCTACTTTCTGTCTCTGAATCTGACTCCTCTAAATACCTCATAGAAGCGCAATCACCCACATGGTATTTATCCTTTTGTAACTGCCTTATTTCACTTAGCTTAATGTCTTCTAGATTCATCCATGTTAGAGTATGTGTCATAATTTCCTTCTTTTTTTAAGTTGCATAACATTTTATTACATGTATAATACCACATTTTGTATATCTATACATTTAAGTTGATGGCAGCTTTTGGCTATTGTGGATAATTGGTATGCAAATATCTGTTCACCTCTGCTTTCAGTTTTTTGGGGTATATACCTAGAAGTAGAATTTCTGGATCATATAATTCTATTTTTAATTTTTTAAGGAACCGCCATTCTATTTTTCATAGTGACTGTACAACTTTACATTTCAACAGCAATTCACAAGGGCAACAAGTCCTCCACGTGCTCACACTACCACTTGTTGTTTTCTCTGTTTTTGATATTAACTATCCTAATGAGTGTGAAGTGGTATCTCACTGTGATTTTGATCTACTTTCCCCTTATGGTTAGTGATGCTGAACATCTTTTCATGAGCTTATTGGTCATATGGCCTGATATTTTTTAAGATATTTGAGGGTGGGGAAACTTGTCCAAGATTAACCAAATCTTATTCAAAAGCAACTTACTTTAAGAATTAGGTCAGCCTAATCTTAAATTTTTACTGCTACAAAGAATTTTAGCAATCCTCAATTTTTAATCTGAAATCCATCCATGGTTCCAGAGAGTCCATGATTAGCCTGAATTAAAGTAGAATTCCATCAGAGTCTCAAAAGTAATTTTGACCTTTAATATCTTGAGAACTATTGATGCAGACTAGAATCACCAAAATGTGAAAAAGTCACTACCTTTTGGGTAGGTGGAATTAAGAGGATTTTTAAATTTCTACTCTGTGCTTTTCTCTTATTTTCCAAAGTACCTAAAAATAACCATGCATAGTGCATGTGATTTTAATGTTATTTTAGAATTTAAAAGGTAAAATTTATCTTTAGCTCTTGGATGTACAATTAAAAAATGAGTCCAACAGCTAAGAAGAAATAAAATGGATATAGTGTGTTCTTATCATGGCCTGATTTCTCTTAGAGTACTTTCAAATCACTACAGAAACAATGGGCAGGCTCTACAGTAACCAAAAAAATGATGCTTACCGTTGAGTCCATTTCAACTGAACTAATTACAATAAAATATTTGTATTTGAGTTTTTATAATGAGCTTGTGCTATAAGGAGAATGCAAGTTCTATAGCTAGAAAAGCAATATTTATCACTGATTTTTTTTCAACTTAAATTTATTAAGGGAAATGTTTGCATTTAAGTTCTTTATAATGAGATTTTACTGGTTTTCCTGTAATATCTTTTACACAGTACATACTATGCTTACTTTTTAAAGGTATTGTGGGGGGTTTTGTTTGTTTAAGTTTATAACAATGATCACTTAATTGTAAAAGCAACTAGAAAGAACCTCATTAAGTATCTATGTTGGGTAGATGGATATATACCTGTGTTCAATTTACCATCCTAAAAAATCTGTAGGATCTTTAAGATTTTGGAAGAACTTTCTAGGACATTTTACCTATGCAAATTCATTGTCTAGTCTCCATATCTTCGATCTTTTTTGGAGGTTTAATAGTACTCCAAGGAGAGTTTAAAATCCTCTACTATTTAATATCTTTAGGCCTCTGTTTCCTTGTCTGTTGGACTGGAACTAGATAGTTCTATCCAACTTTGCATTTGTTTGATGTATGCATGTGCTTAAGTGTAATGTTTATGCTGTGAAATTTTATGTTTATTTTATAACTACATTTTTAATTTATGCCAGGTTTGGTTTTTTTTAAATCTCTGGGATTTTTTTTTCCTTTTCAGCTGTATGCAGGAGCTATTCTTGAAGTCTGTGGATGAAAATTGGGGAGGTTCCCACAAGTCCAAGGTATGTAAAATTAACTCCAGTAAATTCTCAGTTTAATATAAAATCAGCATTTCACAAGAAAAATTTGATTAAATATCCCTACAAGTAAGGAGTTTTAGTATCATACTTTATCAACAGCATATGAATTTTTTCTACATCTTTCTTCATGGTAGTGGGGTTTTATAGTTGTTGAATACTAGTTTAAACAAGCATAAGATATGAAATCTAAATTTAAATGCAGCACGTGATGAGATGGTTAAATTTTTTGAGTCTTTCCTTTAGCAAGTATAAATTTTTTAAGAACCTTTCTTATATCAGATGTAAATGTCATCCCTTTAAGTAGCATTTCATTGTGCTATATTTTAAATGTAAATTGATTTATATAAAACTCCTAAGGAACAATAGCATCAGTGAGACTAGACCTGTGCTAAATGACAAATCATCCAGAATAGAATTAATTTCATTAAACTTGAGGTATAGAAGAGAGGAAGTCATGCATGTTGTATGTCTTTACAGGAATTTTTAAAGAGAATCGTGTGAAAGGATAATTGTAAAAAAGTATTTATTCTTTTGGTTGATATCAAACAGTAATGGAGTTTTGCAGTTCCAAAAATACTTGAGCTAAAGCTTTTTTCTATTTTGTCCTTGTATTTCACTTGAAAGTCAGTTTTATGAAATAGAACTTGTCTGAAGGTGTCAACCAATGGGTGTTGGTACCAATGCAATGCCAACAGGAATCCCCAGTTTACAGTGCGGTGAAGGAAATTTTATTCAATTCAATTGTGATACAAGCAACTCAGTTGTGATACAGCAGGGCTGTGGAACAGCTCAGCTATGGAGCGGCTCAGTGGTGTTACCTCTCACTTACGAAGCAGCACACTATGGAGAAGCATGGCTGTGAGGCAGCCCGCTCAGGCTAGACCGCTCTGCTCTGCTCTGCTGTGCTCTGCGCTGGTCCAACAAAATGTCTTCATTGTTTTAGTTCCAGGCAAGGAAACAGTGTTCGTTCTCCAAGCCAGCGGGGAGCTGACTTATATAGAGAGGAGTGCTTGCCCCTGGTGCCTGATTGGTCCATCCTCATAATCAAGAATTCGCAATCCTCACAGTTTGATTAGTCCAAAGGGCACTGTCCTGATTGGTCCAAATGGAGCCACTCTGATTAGTCAGTGAATATCTGATGGAGATATAGCTGTACAACTCCTGTTGGACAAGGAAAGTCTCAGTTGTATTGGTTAAAATATGATTTTAAAAACTGCTCTGTAAGAGTTGTTGGCTCAGTTGACAGGAACACAATGTGTACAGGCAGGCAGTTCAGGGCTGACTTCTCCCTTAAGCATGGTTTGCATGAGAGGCTTGTTTAGAAATGGCTGCTAGGTTCTGTTTCTAAATTTTAATCCTGTTAGCCACCAGGTAGGTATCCTGTCTCAGGGTCAACGAAGGTAGTGAAGCTCTTTTTTTTTCCCTTTAACTGAAATACATAAGTGCACCATTTGCTGGCTTTCCCATGATTTCTTGCCTTGTTTACTTAATGGCAAGAGAATTATTTGGATGTAGTATTTTATAAAATTGCCTGTATTAGCCTCTGCCCATATTTATTGCTGACCTAGAATTGTTTATAATAAAATATTGCCTATTTTGGCACAGAAATGAAATAGAATAATTTGACTTGGGAGATTTAATATGAGACCCAAAGCAGATACACATCTAATTAAAAACACTTCTTTGTTAGAATAAGCACCAATTTTGATGTAGCACAGGATATAACATCTATATTTTCTTAAGGAAAAATATCGTTCCTCTGTACTTTTTTCCTCAAATTCAGATATTTACCATAGTTGTTTTATGTAAGTATTCTGAATGATAATGTGATCACTCTTATTTCTAGAAACTATGGCAGTTGATGTTTAATTATATTAAACATTCATATTTACTAACTTGTTTTATTAATAATCTTTTGTGACTTAGCTTTTCAAGAGATCAAGAGTAGCTTTTACACTGCAATTATCCCATTCGTGATATCAGGTTTTATTATGTCCATGGTAATAATTTATACAGCTTGTAGTTTAGTTTTTGAAAGTTTGAGTATAGTTTCTCAATCTTTGTAGTTGAACTTAATTATATATATTTCTTATGTATAGTTAAATTATCAAACCTTTGAGTACACATAGTCACACTGTCTTTTCCTTTTGAAAACAACTGGATTTTAATTTTTTGTGTAAATATTTAACAAGTACAAGCTTACTTAAAATGAAAATGATTGTTTACATAATGCATAACCATATTTAATATAATTATGTATAATGCCAATATTTTCTTAATCTTTGAAAAGCTGCTATTTTTTTTAAAGATTTTTTTTGTTTTACTTTTTAGAGAGAGGAGAAGGGAGGGACAGAGGGAGAGAAACATCAATGTACAAGAGACACATCAGTCATTTGCCTCTTAATACCCCCAACTGGGAAGCTGGCCCACAGTCCAGGCACGTGCCCTGGCTGGGAATCAAAACTGGCCTTTCAGTTCGTAGGCTGGCATTCAATCCATTGAGCCACTCCAGCCAGGGCTGTATACTTTTAGGGAATGTATAATATAACATTCCCACTTTGAGACTCACTATCTTAAAGATATCCTGAAATAGGGAGTGAAGGAAAATTGCCAGTTTTTGCAATGATTACAAATAACAAACTATTCAATAATTTTTATGTAGTCATTGTTTCATATTCTTTGTTAACCACATCAGATAGCTTCTGGAATTAGAATGATAATTTTCATTACACTTTAACTTAAGATACATTGTAGTTATTTCACATTTACTAAATTTAAATTAGCCACATCATAAAATAGAAGAGTAAATTAACGTGAAATATTTCGAGAAGAGAGGGGGATTTAAATTTTGAAATGTTTTATCCACATTAAACAACTGTATTTGTGGGGAACAAAAAGCCCCACATCATATTTCTTAGCCAGTTCCAGGTACTCCTCCTAAAGCAATATGTATTATATAACAATTTCTCTTAGAAGATTGGACCCAGTGTTATGTCACTTGGGATATCAAAAGTAATAATGTAAATAAGTATATTTTCCTTCTCAAGCAGCATGAGTTTTACCATGTTAAAGATATGTCTGTCTCTAAAACAATGTGAATTTTCCCTAATTGTTTAGGTCATAGCAAACTTTTTCTGTAAAAAGCGAGATAGTAAACATTTTCAGTTTTGCAAGCAACTAGGATTAGTAAATTTTTATCTGGTTTACCTGTCTCTGTTTCCTTTTATTAATTCCATTGCCTCTTCTATATAAAAAGACCTTTTCCATAAGGCAGATTTGATTATGTAGCCTCTTGCTTAAAATCTTTATAGTGTCCCATCACATTCAGAATAAATATCAAACTCAGTAGCATCATACATGAGGCCCATCACAACATGGTTTATTTTTCTTAGGTCACGTCACTAGTTCATGTGCAGAACTATTTGCAGTTCTTTCATTTGCTGTGCAAAAACTTTTTAGTTTGAGGTACTCCCATTTATTTATTTTTCTCTTTTGTTTCCCTTGCCTGAGGAGATATGTCCCATAAAATATTGCTGCAAGCAATGTCCAAGATTTTGCTGCCTATGTTTTCTTCTACGATTTTTATGGTTTCAGGTCAAACACTTAAGTCTTTAATCCATTAGGAATTTATTTTTGTGTGTAGCATAAGAAGGTGGTCTAGTGTCATTTTTCTGCACATTATCTCTGTCCAATTTTCCCAACACCATTTATTGAATAAACTATCTTTAGCCCATTGTATGTGCTTGCTTCCTCTGTTGAATATTAATTGACTATAAAGGTGTGGGTTTATTTCTGGGCTCTGTTCTGCTCCATTGATCTGTATGTCTCATTTTATGCCAGCACCATGCTGTTTTGATTACTGTGGTCTTACAATGTAGTATGATACTAGGTAGCATGATTCCTCTAACTTTGTTCTTTCTCAGTATCGCTATTGCTATGTGGGGGCTTTTTTTGGTTCCATATAAATTTTTGAAATATTCTAGTTCGATAGAAATATATCATTGGAATCTTGATAGGAATTGCATTGAATCTGTGGATTGCTTTGGTTAGTATAGATTTTAATGATGTTAATTCTTCCTATCTGTGAACACAGTATGTGCTTCCACTCATTTGTACCTTCTTCAGTTACTTTCTTCATTGTCTTCTAATTTTTCCAAGTATAGGACTTTTACATCCTTGATGAGGTTTATTCCTAGGTATTTTATTCTTTTTGAAGCAATTGTGAATGGGATTATTTTCTTAATTTCCCTTTCTGTTAGTTCATTATTGGCATATAAAAATGCAACTGATTTCTAGATATTAATTTTGTATCCTGCCACTTTACTGAGTTCATTTATCAGTTCTAGTAGTTTTTTAGTTGAGTCTTTAGGGTTCTCTATGTACAGTATCATCAGCAAATAAAAAGTTTTACCTTTTCCTTTCCAGTTTGGATGCCTTTTATTTTCTTCTTCTTGTCTGATTGCTGTGGCTGGGACTTCAGTACTGTGTTGAATAAGAGAGGTGAAAGAGGACATCCCTGTCTCGTTCCCCAACCTTAAAGGGCACGCTTGTAGTTTTTGCCTGTTGAGTATGATGCTCACAGTGGGTTTGTCATATACGGCCTTTATTATGTTTAGGAATGTTCCCTCTTCCCACTTTGCTGAGAATTTTTATCATAAATGGGTACTGGATATTACCAAATGCTTTCTCTTCATCTATTGATACAATCATGTGGTTTTTATCCTTCATTTTGTTTATGTGGTGAGTCACATTTATTGATTTGCGAATATTATACCAACCTTGCATTCCGGATAAATCCAACTTGATCATGGTGTATGATCTTTTTGATGCACTGCTATATTGGGTTTGCTAATATTTTGTTGAGGATTTTAGCATGTATGTTCATCAGGGATATTGACCTATAATTTTATTTCTTTATAGTATCTCTATCTGGTTTTGGATAATGCTGGCCTCATAAAATGAGTTTGGGAGCCTTCCCTCCT